GTTGTGTCAAAAGATGATGTGTGCCAACACTACTTTAAATGACAGAAAAACACACTTATATTCAAAGATGTTTCAATCTGAATCTGCCTTGGGCCTTATTAATATGAGCAGCTTGTTTCATCTGTTTCTTCCAGATTTGATTTTTGTATTTTGGTTTGTTTTGTTTTAGATGTTTCCAATAAATTTTTTTAATTACCTTTTCTTCAAATATGAGACTTCAGACGGTCTGGGCTGTATGAAGACCACTGTTTCTTTCATGAAGTATTTGCTTCTTCAGGAAGTAAATACACACATTTAAGTAAATATTTTAAATGGCATACTGCATGAATTCAAAGTTAGTAGAATGTTGTTCCTGCTCTAAGAAACAGCAGGTCTGATGTCTCTAAAAGTACATCTAAATCTGAAGTTGTAGTCAGTGTTACATCTCAAGTCTGATGTTAACTAGAATTACCTTCAGGCATAATTAATTACACTTGCATGTTCTCATGCTGAGGTATATAGCAAGATTCTCAGGAATTTGGTTTTGTGTGTTTTCACAGATGCCACATTTTTGGGAGTGGTAATAGGATTCTTGCATCTTCATTATTATCTCTGGTGCAGCTTTTATAAATTGAGACTAAATGTCAGCATAACCTTTGACTCAGAGTGAAACAGGATATACAGATCATTTTTCTGCTCTTGTCTCTTTGGGTGTGGATAGGACTGATTATTGTCTTTTCTGACCGACAGGGGAGGAAGGAGTGAGAAACTTTTTGTAATTCTTACCAAGTCAGAACTCCTGAAACATACAGGGTTTTTTTTGCCCTGCACAGGTTGGACTCTCTTAAGATAACAGTAGAGGTTGTCCTTCACACATCTTAAAATCTAAAAAGGAAGTATTCTACCTCCTCTTAGTCATTAACAGAAGTGCCTTCAGAAGTGGGTGCCATATAGGAGTAAAAGGCTACTAACATTCTGTTTTGGTTGAAACTATACAAGTACACAACTTAAGCTGACTGTAACCACTGATAACATGGTCGGTTTTGCAAGCTTTTGCACAATTCCAGCAGTGCATCTTAACTTTCTTGACAAACTTCATTTCTTTTTTTTCATAGTCAGAAACTCAGTTCTGTGGAAATACAAACTTGCCCTAGTGTATGATTAAAGAAGTTATGACTTCGGGTTTGACAGAATAAAGATCTTTGAGGCAAAATAATTTATCTAGTTGAATTTCTGTTACAAAAGTAATGTAAATAAAAAAATGAATGGAGGAAGAATTTTATTTTGTTTTTTGATATCAAGGTAAAGGGAAAAAAGGAAAAGCTTCCTTTCTCTTTATGTCAGTGAAGGACTCTAAATTCATGGAAGGAAGATTTGCAGTCTCATCATAAAAATCTTTAATCTGCTTTTTTAGCAGCAGCATAAATAATCTGAGATATTGTAATTCACAATATTATAAATGTAGTCCTTTGTATTTAACCTAGTCTTCATATTGAGGGAGTTAGAACCACCTTTAGAAGTGCAAAACATCAAGAAAACCTATTTTCACCTTCAGCATTTACAAGATACATCATAAGGTGCTAATGTATTGGATAAAATAAAGAACTATAGTACTGGTCCTAGTAAAAGATGGAGCTCAAGAGAAGCTCTTACAGAAGGCTAAGGAATATTGTTTTTCAATGTCTGCAAAGCACTAAAGTAAAAGTTGCTTATCAAAAAGTTTAATCAACTTTAAAATCCTGATGATATTCTGATAGTGGGCATTCACATGTTAAACAAGATGAAGTGATGGAAAGGAGAAGTGTCAGAAAGTGAAAGAAGGGATCCTTTTGTCTATTTTTCGCTTTGCCCATATTTTTAACTTCTTACTGAATAGATAAAATGACACTGAAAACTGACACAAAATTTCAGGTTTATTGTATGAAATGCAATCACATATAGGGTTTTATAATTGTGATTTTTGTCTTTGCATTTACTTTTTCAGTTGTATGAAAATTAAATTAGCTTCTCTCTTCAAGTCCCCAATGATGTTGTTGCAATTCCTTTAACAGTTTTGCAGCAGACCGCTGATTAGGATATGGTATTGTTCAGTTGGTACATAGGCAGCCATAGAATTCAGCTTCCCACAGCCAAATAGTGTCTGTAGAAGTAGCAGGAATAGAAAGTGGTATTGTTTTTAATTCGCGTTACTAGAGCGCTTGTGAGGCTTAATCAGACCAGCATCCCACTGGCTAGACATTGTACAAACAAAGAGCAAAAACAAAGACTTCCCACAGAGTGGTTAGAATCCAAGATAAGACAAAAGACAAAAAAAAAATGCACACGAATGGAAAAGTAAAATAAGAGTGTCAATATTTGTCTAGCTGATTAGCAATGGTTTCAACACATGATCAGTTTAAATAGTCATTTTTTTCTCCTGTATGCATGACGAGAAGGGGAAGCTTTAGGGTGAGATCTGAAGGCTGGATAACGAGGGAGCTGGAAGAATGTATATTCCTGACCAGCCTTGTGCGCTGCCAAAACTGTTTGACCCTCACCTCATTCAGAAGAATGTTCAAGCTTTAAGCCAGGTGTAGGTAGCTATTTGTTTAATAGTATCAGTCACCTGAGTTCTTTGGAGTCCTTCTCATACCTCCTGGCAGTGATTTTTATCACTGTATTCACACTTTCTCCAAATTATGATAGAATGCATAAAGGTTTGTTTGAAAATTTCATAGAGAAATAATCAAAGCCGGTGCCATGGACTCCAAGTGAATAGTGATTATGAGGTCCTGAAAGACCTCTAAAGCAAAGACAAGGTAGATACATCTGATGGAACAGTGAAAGGGCATCAGTGAGGAAACTAAAAAGATAGCTTAGTCAGAGTGCTACCCTTGCAGTAGTATTTGGACTAAGAGCAGTGAAATTGCTTTGTCAAAGCCTGAGAACACCAGTTAACAGGTGAAAGTGATAGCTTACCTGAGGTTGTTCTTTGAATGGGCAAAAACATCTGTATCCTACAGAGAGTAAGATCACATTTAGTGGTGACTATCAGTGAAAATTTAAAGGAGAGGGCTTGGAAATCAGTCTCAGATAATGTCCCTGATTTGGCCTATCTCGAATGACATGTTATGAAAGTGAAAAATAGGAAAGATGTCCTACATGTATGAATGTATTAAGTTTTTAAAAAGACTGGACCTCCAAAAGTGATATCTGTAGGCATAATTACTTTTTTATTCACTTGGAAAGTTAGAGTCTAGTCTGGACTGGAGAAGCAGCTTTGCAGGGTTTTACATACAGATAATAGCTAAAATTATATTTGTGGAGTAAGTCAGCAACAGACATAATTGCAAACAGAAAAGGGAAGGCCAGACACTTGGAACCATATAAGAAAGTGAGGAAGGGGGAAGTTCTTCCAAATAATCTATTAAAAAAAAAAATTAGAGAAGCAAAGGAAATAAAAATATGGAAGCAGGAGTCAAATGAAGGTGAGAGGATTTAAGAAAACTGCACCAGTAGCTTCACTGAACATAGCCTGCAGGGCAGATGAGTATAAAGTATCTGTTTTGAGGTTGATAGGAAAGTGTTCCTAGGGCTATGTTCAAAATGAGAGATTGGCCCACATAGTCAAAGGCAATAGCAAACAGCAGTTTGGTAGAGCCTGACAGAACTGCAGGAAGGAAACCGAGCCTAGCCACTAAGAGAGAAATAACAGTTAGAAAAGCAGATCAGTTAATAATATATTTTGGTTTGCTTTTTCAATGCATGAGATTATACTATGTTTATATAGTGCAGCAAAAGAAATGCAGAGGTTGAGACACAGAGTGAAGATCAGAAGAGATAAGTAAGCATGAAATGAGATCAGCAGGCAGTCTGGGCTGCTACAACTGATCAGATAAGTGCATAAAAAAACCAGACATCTGCTTTTGTGGTATAGGGGTAATGGAAAGGACACTTCAAAAAATCGTAAGTTTTTCCCTTAGAAAAGCTGCTTCTAGAATCAAAGAATCAAAGAAAAATTGCAGAAAAATCAGCAGGAATCAATCAATACAGGAAAATGCAGGCTTGAAAGGTCTGTAGTCCAACCTCCTTCTAAAAGCAGGGGTAACTTCAAAGTTAGATCAGGTTCTTAGGGCCTCTTCAATATCCACAGCATATAAAATGATAAAAAAGTCAGCAGGCAGAAACACAGTGCTCATGGGAAACAGATATTTGAGATTAAAATATTCTCATAATAAAATTACTTTGGGTGTCATTGGAAAATACTAATAATTGAGTACAAGAAATATGGCTAGCTTGCAATGTTTTTAAATTCTGGATGATATGTGACTGGACTGTACATGTTTAATAATCTTATTCCGTAATTATTTCAAAATTATACTCCATTTTTGAGATGGCAAATTCCATTATTTTGGAAGAACTAGGGCAACAGAATTCCCCATGTTCCTCACAAAGACTGTCCCTGGGATGTGTTCCCCTAACATTGTCTATCGGCTTGTTTCAGGTAATATGTTAAAAAAAAATCACACACCTGTTTTACAGGTACATACTGTAGGAGACTATTTTATATATATTTCAATATTTCAACATATATTATTGCCATCTGGAAAATAATAAGTAGCATGCTCATTCTACTTTGCTCCAGAAAACCTAAACCTTTGCATGAAGGAATTAAGAACTGCTCTTACGTTGTTCATCTGTTGCTCAGAACCAAGACATCTAGGAATTCATTATTTTGTTTTCACTAATGTCAAAAAAACCTCTTGTTGACCTCAGCTGAATCAGGTTCAGGACTTATCTATATTAATGCATGTACTAGAAATGCTATTTTTCCAATATATCTATTTCGTAGTTTCCTAGTTTGACTCTACTAATAACATTGTACAATTGTAGGTATGACAAATTACAGCTAGAAAGACTTCAATTTAGGAGTCATAACTGTATGCATTCTGTTAATATTTCATGACTGGGGTGATTTAACATTTGTACATTGATGGATGACGTTCTTGCCAGGACTATACAGGAACTGAGGACAAAAGATAAAATGAGAAGTATTGCAGCTTTATTACAACAGATGATTCTCTGGAAATGGGCTTTCATATCTGAAATCAAATATAATTAGAAGCTTTCATCTCTTGCAGAAAATCCACACTGATTTTCATCCTTCTCTCTTGAACAAAAGCTATATGCAATTTTCTTTTAAAATAAGCTTTGATGTTCAACTTTGGAAAAATTACAGTTCAAATGTCTTTAGCTAATTTAAAACCTAGCTTCTTCCTATTGACAACTACTGTGTGTTTAAGGAAACTAAACCTGTAACAGAGAAAAGTGATTGATCTAAAAGCTGGATATCAACTGGGGAAAAACACTGAGTTTGGTAATTTCTTTGTTTTACATTTGGTAACTGAAAACAGAAGAAGCTATACAGAGCAGGCGTGCACATACACCTGTTTATTTCTTGCATTTGACCTTCCTTACATACTTCTCTTTGCAATCTGCACTGTACACTCTATTAAGCCACAGTTCTGCAAACACAGAAGTGAATCCACAGCCACATCTGCAGATTGGCTTTCAGCTTAACATTTTCTTTTCAGAGAGGGTAATGGAGCTGACACTGGGGGCAGGCACTGTGCATACTTGTGTTTTTATATGGTACTCAGCTTAATGAGATTCTAATCCTGATGAACCATCTGGATGCAGTTAAAGTATGAAATAATTAATCATGGAATACCATTAAATTGCTTCCCTGTTCTCCTTAAATGACTTCTCAGAAGACTGTCCAGTTAGAAAAATCAAAGTCCTAAGAATCTTTTTGCATTACATGCAACAAAAGTCCTTTCTCTATTGCACAGTAAAGTATGAATACATACTTTTCTGTGCAGTACTTCATACGCATACTTCAGTAACTCAAACTTCAATATCTGGAGAGGCTGACTGTAACTAAGTAACTAGATTCGTTTAACAAGGACACTGATGCTCAAAATAGGGTTTGTATACTTAAAGATGATGACTGTTAACTGGACTAGAGTGTGTATTCTGGTGAACCTGAACAGAGGTCCACATGCACAAATTTGGGATTCAGCCCAGTTATCCAGGTAGTCCATCATACTTTGTATTTATGCACTCGAGTGACAGTGACTACTCTTTCTCAGCTCCTGCTGAACTTAGTGTGAGTGCTATCAGATGCACATTTATAAAGACCACTTTATTTAAGTGTCTGGACAGGAAGACTAGTTACTGGAGTAAAAATTTTGGCTCATGTACCTTAAATGTATAAAACGCTTTTGAGACTGATCTCACCTACTTACTTTAATCTACAATATCTTCACCTATGCAATCCTTATGTCAGAATTTTTTTCAATTTTCTTAGAGTTATGCTTAATAATTTTTGTTCTTCACTTATTTTTTTTAATAACTCTCTTTCAAGTATGGCATGACATCCTGCCAGTAAAGTTATATCAGTGTGCTTAAGATCAATACAGATAAGACAAACCCTGTGTACATACCAGATCTAGAGTAGGCAGTGTAAGAACTTTTTGTGACTTTCACACAATGAGGTAATATCCATAAATAAAAGACCCACTTCTAAGTCAAACTTCCTGCCTGTAACAAAATCCCCTCCTGCATCTGTAGAGGAAATAAAAACCTTCAATCTCTATTTTCTGGATTATGTTCTAGTAACCAAGATTAATCCAATATATGTATAATGGGATGCATATGAAGAAAAGTTTGAGTCACTAACTGTAGTCCATGGCTTTATGGTCCTAAAATATTTTGATCACTCAGTCCTGTGGAGAGGAGGGAAGGGTGTTAAGCTCTCGAACTGAATGCTTGCATGTTTCCCACCTGCTTGCTTTCCAGACTTAGATAACGAGCTGGGGCCTAAGTAATCCTACTTTGAAATGATTTCTTGTCAACATGGTGTTCTGTTTCCAGAATATCTGTATGGTTGCATAGTCCCACAACCTTTCTTCCCCATACTACATACTGAAGGTTCTTAGTTGATTTCTGTATGACAGAAAATAATAAATCCTATGTGTGAGTTAAATGCTGAGTCACTGTACTTCATTCAACTTGTGGACTGCTGACATCAGTTTTTATTTGTGCTCTTTAAATGGCAAAAGAAAAAAAAAGTTATTTTCCATCTGTTTAGTGAACTTTCAGTCCTTTTTCTCCTTTAAAAGAAAATTTTTTTTTTATTATTTTTTTTTTTAATTGTGTCAGAGAACAGGACAGGTGATATGTGTGTGAAGATTGACAATCAGTTTTCATATAAAAATACATAGAGGGGAAGATACCTATGTAACAGTCCCACAAAATCAAACAATGGTGCTGATGTAGAACATAAAGGATATGGGTCAGGAGAACATAGAGAAACACTAATTTGATGATAGATTTTGCCTTGTCATAAATTAGTTATTAATTCAAATGCTTATGCCATTATCTTCATCATAGGGGAGTTCTAGTCACAAAATCTTTCTATTCTTGCCTAAGTGGGGTTCTGTACTCTGCTTCCAGGAAATATTTGATATGCTGCCAGACTCAGCCCTGTTCTTTCTCTCTCCTGCACCTTCACCTGTATGTGAAATGCACCATGTATGTATGTGGGAGAGAAATGCTTCTGAGATTTAAAGCTAAGACTAGCCAAATGTCAGAAACTGTTACAGCAGAGATAACAGTAAGTAGGAAAATAACTTGAACTCATCAGATAGTACAGGATCCCTCAAAAGTCCCTTTTGGGAAAGGAAACTACTGTGGAGAAGAATGCTCTGAATGCTCTTTCAGTTCAGAAAAATGTATTTTCTTTGAGCCCAAGCTCTATTTAATTAGTGTTCTGACATCCAGGCTCAAAAAAAGAGAAAGTCAAGTCATGAAATACTCAAATGGTATTGCAGAACAAATTTCTACCAGAATTGTCACTTGGACAGAGTCCCAGGCGCTCAGCATGTCCCATTGCATCAGATTTGTACCAGACAAGCATTAGGCCAGGGCAGCTCTCACACAAGAGACAGTGCAGAGTCCAGGGTCCATTCTACTCAGAACCTTCTGTCTCAGAAAGAGTCCTACTTTTATTTCAAATACCAGCTATTGTCAAATGTAAGTGATAAGCAGAAATATATTAAGTTTCTGGTATAAGTATTTGAACTGTAATTAAGACACATAATTTACACAAGTAAATGTATAACAACAACAAAGAAGATATTATATTTATATCAAAATACCAAAAAGAAGCATTTTCTGTTAAGATTTGGGTTTTTCTCAATGTCCCACACTTATCCACCACTGTACTTTGATGCTTCTCAAGTGATATTCAGAGTTTGGGGGTGTCCAGATTCATGCACAGTGAGTGGCTATCAGGGAAAAAAGGTACCTGCTGGTATCACAGGAGCCTAAATCCCATATTTATATTTCTTTGTAATTACAATTTTTTTAATGTAATAATTTACCCTTTCTTTTATGTACTGCCCATCTCTAACAGTATTACACCTAAAGAAACTGAACTCTAGTCAACTGTTAAATATATTTACTCTGGGAATCATTCTTTATTCCATTATATTCCCTACTATTATTTTTTCTCTATCTGAATAGCAGTAATTCAATTAATTCATGTACATATTAAACATAATCCAAGATATGAATTCAGATACACTGTAGTGTTATAGATCAAGTATAACCCTTAAAAACAAAGCAGCTCCTACTCTTTAACTCTTTCCAGCACTGAAACAAATTCATTCACAGTGTGCATAAATTCAAAATTCATATTGACAAATGTCAGCAGGATCACCAATCCTCATCATAAAACTTCTCTATTATTTTATAATTGTACTTTAAAATTATTCCTGATGTTCTTAAGTCCTTGATTTTTGTATTCAGTCATAGCATATGGTTCCAGTGTGTTACAGAACACGGTTTCAGTTTGTGGGTCCTGTCACTGCTCTCTGGAACACTGTAGATAGGATACCAAATACATCTGTTATTTTTCTTTAATTTGCTGACTTTCACATTTATGCTGCACAAATACTCAAAAATACATTATTAGAAATATTTTATTTACTATGTAATGTACCATGACATTTCCATACCCTTTGCAGAGCGGGGTTACTCTAATTTGGGTGTGGTAGACCAACAGGAGAGAGAAATCAGATGTGAATCCATGTCTTGTCTGGAAGTAAAAGGAGAAGAGTAATTTTTACATTTTTAAAATGTCTAATTATTTCTATGCAAACCAAACAAATTGCTATATAAATTTATAGATTTTTTTAAAAATGTATAAATTAGGTTAGTTTTTTCTATTTTAAAAAGTCCTAAAAAGTGATTAAAAAACAAAAAGCTTTTACTAAAATATCTGATTTTTGGTAAAAATACCACTTTCAGAAGATAGCATGAGAAGCTAAACTCTTGCCTGGGTAAAGAGCAGAGCTGGATACCAGTGCTTTTAATGGTTCAACATCCCAGCTTTTCTTCACGTGGAAGTATTATTTCCTCTTACTTGATTAAAAAAGAAGCTTCAGCACACTCAGCATTTCTTTTTCACTGAAAGTGGTGCTGTCTCTTGCTTTCACATTTTTGTCCTGTGAAACTCGTGTGTTTATGTAACTTCTATAGAAAATAACTGGGCCTGCTCTTGCCCAGGAGCAGCCGCAGGACTCGCCGTCCGTTCCCTCGAGCCTCGGGCTCCTCCTGAGGGCTGAGGGTGAGCGCGGGCCCCGCTCCCTTCCCGCTCCCTTCCCGCCGCCCGGCTCCCTCCTTCCCGGCCTCCCGGCGGCACCGCGGCTTTCCAGCCTGCTCCAGGACGGGTTTCGGCTCGGGGAAGGGACCGGGTGAGGCTGGCACTGGGAACAGCTGCCACAAAGGCGAGCGGGAGCCTCCAGGCCCAGGCTGCGGGCTGCCTCTGGCTCCTGCCCTCGCTCCGCTGGGCAGTTAACCAGTTCTTTAATGTGTCCGTGTGCTCCAAACGTCTCGCCTCGTTAACTGGCAGGAAATTGTTGTCGTCTCTCTTTTCCCAAACTTTTCAGAAGTGGCACCTCACTGCAGAGCTATTAAGCCACTGGAAGAAATGTCAGAAAGGTGCGGGCAGGAGCCAACGAGGTGGATAACGACGGTCATTATGAGCACAGCTCTGCAGGTAGGACACCGCTTGTGAAGACCAGCATCTGACTCACTGACTCAGGGAAGGCTGAAAGAAGAAATTACTATATTCTGTATATGGAAATATTTTATCCAATGTCAATGAATACAGTTTTTTTCAGGATAAAACGGATATTAGTCTGAAGCTCTTTCTATTAGAATACTAGGGGGTTTTTTGTGTGCAACTGTATTTTCTCGTAGCTACTTCCATATCTAGTTAGTATTCTTGCCACCTGCTATTCTGAGTTACACTGCTTAAGGATATTCTCCTGACTCATCGTTTTTGCACTGCACTGATGCCTCTTTCAGTTTGCTCTATAAATAATTCCATCAGAAAATTTGCTGAATTTTCTGAATTTCTCCCTAAATACTTCATTTTTTCCTATACAGTATCAACATGGGGGTAGACAATTACTCTGTAAGTACATAATTCAGTTTAAAATACTGAGGCTTATAGATATTAATATATATTTTTATCTGGTAACATCAGAAGCCTTGACTCTGTTCCCAAGTAAAGTGAAAGGGTATGTCAAGGAGCTGGTAATTAGCTTCTGCAGCTGAGGCCAATTTCATGCCAGCTGGCAAGAATGTAGAGCTTTGAGAGCTTTGATTCACAAGCAAGGATGTCTTATGCTAGATGGCTGACAAGGTTATCACCCCATCTCCGCTGTGTAAATGGGTGAACCATGTTGAAGTAATTCCTAAATTGCTTCATTTTAAAGCCTGTACTTACTTGCCTGCTCATTTTGGAGTTTACAGCCTGTAAACTGTGCATCTTTGTACCATAATATGGTGAGAGGTAATGGATGGCAGTGATTTCATCAGCTGTACCGGCATAACTCACTCCTACCCCCAGCTCTACTCAAAACTACTCTCTTTGTAAGGGCTCCCCATAAGCAAAGTGATGGAGGTAACTGAATACAAATCCAAGATGGCTTTTCTGTATCAGTCTTGCTTATGAGCTATCATTTTCATATAGCTGTTATTTCTATTTGTACATTAAATAATTCAGCAGTGGCTTTGAAGCTGAGATTTTTTTCCAAAATGTAGCAAAACCTTAGAAGCAGTTGCCACTGAGTGTTCCGTTTCCAGACCAATTGAAAGCGTGACATTTCTGGCTAATGCCTCCTTCAAGGTTCACTTGCAATCCAGATTTTCTGTTGTACTCTTCCACTAAATCATGGCACTTCCCTATATAAGCAGGCTGGCTGTGTTTTGAATGGGTAGGTTAAAGAACATGTTATTAGCTAAAAAGGTTCAGTGATTTAACCTTTAATATATGCGTGTGTGCAGCTTCTGTGGAACATACTGCAGAAATGCTTTTTGCAGGCTGAAAAATACATCCAAACACAGTCTATTCTGTAGATGATTATACTGCATAGTGCAGTGTTCTAGTTTTCCTGTGGGGATTGCATTCTGTCAAAAAGCTTTCAAGAAAATCAAGTCCTATACAGAATATCTGAACAATTTTCCAGCTGAGATGCTGACATCTGTGAAAATAATGCAGCCTAATTAACTAGAGTCATAGAAACACACTACTGTATGATCCTCACTTCTGCAAATCCTCCTTTAGCACATCTTACCAAAACAGAGTGTAAAATGTTTGAGCTTTATGCATTATGCAAGAGTTTCCTGAGACAAACTGAACATACACATACAGAACTGTTATTCAAGTGTTTGTAACTTCCAGTCAAATACTTCAAAATTTCCTTAATTGATCATGTTTAAAATTTCAGTACTTTTTAAATTTTAAGTGGAATAAAAAATACTTTTTGAACAACAGTGCCAAAGGTCTATCTATAGTGGTTCAGCTCATGCTTTAAGACTATTTCTAACTTGCTGGCTGAACTTTCAAAATAACCTTTTAAAATTTTAGGATCATGAAATTTCCACAGTTCTGCAGAGGCAACAACACCGAGTTCGATATTCAGAATCAGTGGAAACTGGATCTGTGATTTTTCCTCTTTCTGGTACAGTAGTTTAAAGTTTATGCTTTTAAATCATAAAATCAAAAGAAGTACAAAGGCCAGTCAGCTTGGTTGTGGGCTACTCTAAACTGAATAAAACCTGCCTTGTTGTGCAGTAGTGGAAGGAGCTGTGCTATCGTATGCAAATAAGAGGATGAAACAGATAATGTTGGGGACACTTTCACTGTATTTTAGTTTTTTGGACGCATTATAGAACAGCTACATGAGATTTGGTGATCATCAGCTCAACTGTTCAGTAAATTCATGTTATAACTGAGCAAACATGCTTAATGCCGCTAACATGTAAGTTGCCATCAAGATCTTTAGTATACATGGCTGTAAATGTAAGTGAACCTTTGGCTTTCAACTTCCAAGTTGAATTTGCACAGCTGGTGTAACAGAGGAGGTGAGGAAAGGATTATTTGAGTGGATTTGATTAGGAAATCACTGAAACTGTAAACATGAAATAGCTGGTTTTCCTTTTTACAACAGATGTTCTAGACACATAGATGAGATACATCACTTTTCCTGAACTTTGACTAGCACACATTTAGATAGACTTTTGTACGCTCAGTTGTTAACCCTCCTGAACTTCAGCTTTAACTTTCCCTTTCAGAACAACTTGACAGAGCTATAAATTCATTTTTCATGGTAGACAGTTCAGCTAACTTGTAAGATTTTACAACTGTTTCTTTCATTTAGAAACAGGACTTCCAGAGCCTTTCAGTCAGCCTTTGCATTTGCCCCAAATTCATTCCATTATAACAGTTGCTTATCCCTGAAGCACGTGCTCTCAGAGGCATTCACATCTATCTACTTTGAGTGGATCGAAGAGTTGATGGGTTTTTGATGTTATAGTAGAAAAATAACCTGAGATATTTGTAGTTTTATCTTAAAACTGCTAGTCATCACTGGCCAAATCTCTCTATCAGCGATGTGGAAATTCATTCATGTTCTGTTCCATTGCATTTCAAACTAATGGTTGCTTTAAGAATTGTGCTTCCCAGTTTGTGGTGAGAACTTAATCCCATTACTGCCATGACCTGTACACTTACAGGAGTCTCCTCAATAGGCATTGCATTTATACTGTCAGACACTCAAGACTTGCTTAGGACAGGGGAAGAAGAGTTTTCCAAAAGAATTCAGAAGTTCATAAACATTCATCGGAACAGCTTTTTGGTTTTGTCAGCTGCTCTTCATGGACCAGAAGAATGGAGCGTCATGTTCAGGATTCAGAGAAGGTACGATTTCAACATCAAACTGAACTTTATATTGCTAAGAAATGAAATAGCAGTCTTGGATTTGGAAATATTAATTTAGGAATAAATAGGACAAGAGGCAATGGACAGAAACTGATGCACAGGAAATTTAACCTGAATATGAGGAAGAACTTCTTCACAATGTGTGTGACTGTGCACTGGAACAGATTGCCCAAAGGGTGTGGAAGCTCCCTCACTGGAGAAATTCCAGAACAATCTGGATGTAGTCGTCTGCAGTGTGCTCTAGGATGAACATGCTTGAGGTTGAAGTTGACACACTGTGGTCAGTTCCAACCTTACCCTTTGTTAATTATTTCAGGAATACACAAATTTTATTTTACTTATGCACCATAAAAAATTATTATTATTTGTTTATTAACAGCAAATAAAAAGAATACCAAGTGAATCAATCTGATGCATCACAGGTAACAAAAGAGGATGTTCCTCAAAACATAGCAAATTAGATTCCTTTCAATCATTTTAGGGCTATGTAATATAATATAATTATTTTTAAATTTTTTCTTGCATTGGAAATTCAGAACATTTTCTTAGCTCTGTAGCCATATTTTCATGGTCATCTTCAAAACAGAACAGGCAAGTTTACATCATGAGACAAGGCTTTATTGTAAAGTGCAGATTGTTTACCTTTTAAAATGTTTACTTGGAACAGCATCTATTACACTGTGCTAGAACAATTAAATAATCAGTGTTATTTTACACCAAAAGTATAAAAGATACTAAAACTGGTTTGTTTAAAACTTTTATCTCTGATTTCTAATGAGGTCTGAAAACTTCCATATTTCAGTACATACCTGCTGACAACAGCAATTGGGTTATGCTCCATGCTTGTAGTCAGAACTATTTTCTTGTAGGTACAGTAGCCCTAACTGCAGTTGATTGTCACTCTTGGCCTCAAAGAAGTGACTATTCTAATAAAGTCTTTGATCTTTACCTCCTTGAGGTAACTAGCACCAGTTTCATTAAATCCTGGGCATACTGCCAAATGCTGATGAATAAAGAGTGTATGAGATAAAATGTAAGAAATCTATTACCCGTTTGTGAAAACGCTGTAAATTTTCATGAGAGGTTTTAAAAATTCAGCCACCATTCAGCAATTCACATTATTCAGGTGATGGCAATGCTAATTCTCAATCTACTTTGTGGTTATGTGCAATGGGTCTTGTGCACATGCTGATCACTAAAATGCAATGTTTTGGAAATGCATTCATTTGGCAAGTCAGTAGTTTTATTATAATAAAAAATGTTTCTTCATTGCAAGCAATATCAAATTGATGTTGACAAGGGACAATTATATAAATATATATATATATTTATATGCATGTGCTTTTTTTACTACCTGGCAGCTTGAAGTTCTGCTATTGTTTGTAAATCACTGACTGAGCTTCTCCTAGTGGGGTTGAAACTTGTGCCATGTTCTTTGAAATTAAAAGCCACCTGTTGGATTTGTTAAAAAAAAAAAAGCCCCTTAGTATCATCAGGTTGTCTTTTATTACTATTTCTTTCTGCTTATCTATGGCTTTGCTACAGTTGGGGAAGGATTATTTTTTTGTTATTATTAACAAGAAAATTAAAGGATTCTTGTTAACAACACGAACACTTTATGCAGAATTGTGTATAGCATGGTGGAAGTGGGAGAAAAGTAATGTTTATCATAGCAGCTTAAATAAGCTAAGAAATAACCTCAGTACATCTGTATGGTATGTTTTAAACACCTTGGAGGAAAGGCCAGCCATGTTAAAATTTCCAGTATTCTGTCCATCAGTCAAATTAATAACACTAAATTTAGACCTGCTGTTATTGGAAGCAAAACTATTTATAGAAATAGATTTTCATGTATCTAGTTAAGTACATGTAATTATTTAGTTGTTGCACTTTGTTCATCCATGCTTTGTTTAGCCCATTCCAGTATTTGCAAAATTGCATCAATTTATTTCCCTAATCCCTAAATGTAAATCCAACCATTGTTCCTACATCACATTTTGGCAAAATTCACCAGGGACCTGAGTGCCTATGCTTAGCGAAGGACAGTTCCTGTAACATTTATTTTTGCTAATTAGGAGCAAGGGCAGACAAGTTCAGATGAGATACCTTACCAGCAGGAGGTCTTAATGTGAATGAGTCCAAGTCATCAGACAGATTGCAGGGAAGAACAGGTGGCAGGCACAAGGGGAGGTCACAGGGGACTATGCAACTGAGCAGCTGGGCACTTCATCTGCATTATTTAAATTCATTTTGGTTATTTAAAATTCCTCATTCTTTGTTGTGAAGTCCCTCTCCTGTTTTAGCTCTACAACAGAAAACAGCAAAGGTAATGTCATTGTTATAACACACTTAAGGTGTAATTCTGAGGGAGAGGCTCTGTGCTTGCCTAAGCTTTGATGTCTCTCTTCCATAACCATGAATGACAACTCATGTTACTATTTTAAATCTTAAGATCCTCTTCTCAAGAATGAATGCATATGAATAACACTATTTATAGAAATAATTCATTTTAGGTTAAAGTATCGAGTGAACAAGTCTTTACATGAAAGTAGTGGAATTATCCCAGTATCTTAATTGTGTCTGGAATACAGGTTGTTTTATTTATAGTACACTACAAAGATTTAGTTCAGGTTCTGAAGTATTTTTAGCACAATGTTGTTAGATACTTTGCTGTGTTCTTTCACAGCCATAAATACAACCCAAATATTTTTTACTGCCACTGAGAAGTCTTCAGCAATATCACAGAAGAGGGTTTAGCTCTCTCTGAATGCACACATGCTTAGGAAGTGCTGATTGGTGGTTGAAGAGACCTAGATAAAGAAATGAGCCCTTCCAAATCCCACCTAAATAAGTCATACAGAAATGGGACAGATGGCTTTACAAACAGCATGAACGCTGCACTTGCCTTTCAAGATAAAAGCAGCCTTCTCTGTAAGTAAAACTGCACACTAAAAAGCTGTTTACATCATGTGGGAATGCTGTTTGAGTTTTGTGGCATAACAAATTAAATACATATTCTAAAAGTAACCTTATTTATTTTGATGTACAGATTCTTGGGCACCAATTTACGTGTAATACCAGTTCATAATCCTGCTGAAACTGTTAAATTAATGCTAACTATGGCTAAGGTAAGTCCAGTTGCATACACTTAAAAATATTACTGTATTACTGAGGAAAAGCCAAGAACTATAAAATACTTGGTTTTCCTTAATGGAACCTTTTAGGTTATTCTGACCACAATCCATTAATACACTAAGGTAGGATTGATACTCTGATGCATTAGCTGAGTCTTTACCATTAAAGGTAACTTAATAGCTCTTAGTAGCATCTAAGAAAATAAATTAGATAGTTAAGAGCTTTTTTTGCTCTTACTTACCATTGTTAAGTTAGGATGTCATCATTTACTGTTAACTCCTGTTCAAATACTATCACCTCTGTGTACAGCATTCCTGAACACCTACTTAAGAACACACAATTCAAATTTCACTGGTGAATAATTTTGCATTTCTACTGCTGGAAAAATAAAATGTTGAATATTCTATTACCTAAAAGTCCCTGTGTTCTACTAATATTATTTTTCTTTTCTCCAAGGTTACTTCCAAACCAGGAGCAGATGATACTCGTTGCAAAATGGAAATGACAAAAGCCCAAATAATAGAAAAAAGTCCAGTTCGGAAGATGCTTCAGGAGTACCAATCGCACTGTAATTAACTTAATAGTTGGGTTTTTATTCATAAATAGAGATGCTACATTTTAAACAAAATATAGAATGTTCTTAAAAATATAGTTACATTTCAAAAAACTACATTCAACATATGCATTTGGAATGAAAATTCTTATTAAATAGCAATACAGTGAAAAAATAGCATACTCGATACCAAATGTGCTTTCCATGTAGGGAAAAAAAGTCGTTGAGCTGCACTATAGAAAAGTCATCCTTGCTTTTAACTTGGTTCTGATCTTAGAGGCTTATCTGTTTATTAATAATTCCCCTAAATATTTACTGTATCTTAAGGAAAGCTGTATTATTAAAGATAAGGATGATCAAAGCAATTCCAAAATACAGGTATCCCTAAAAACAGCAGCTGTATGTATGCAATCTTACAATTTTTTTAAACACAAGTGTTATCAGTTATGTTACTAAGTTCTAACATCTTATTTGGCTCAAAGTTGATATGTTTTTCTTTAAACCTGGTTCCCTTTGCCTTTCCTTTTGTTTTTACTATTTATAGATTGTATGTTCTGTACTGTTATCTATCTATACTTTACGGTCCTGCAAATAGAGAAGCTTGTCTGTCAACATTAAAATGTGCTAATAAAAGTATCTTCTGCTTAATCAGGACTTTTTAATTATTGGTTCTTCTTGATAAAAATTTTTGTAATTCACAACACCAGACAGCAACTATTACCCAACAAATTCTGAAATTTAAAAAAAATAAATGCCTAACCATACCTCCTTGCCACAGAGAAGAGCACACCCCTGCTTTTAGTTTCCAAACATAAGAAAAAGCTCACAATTCTGAAGAGGAGTAAATAGACATTATCTGCAAATAACATGCAACAAGAGCAAAAGAAAATAAAAAAGAACAGCAACAAGACTTATGAAGAGCAGCATTTGCAGTTCTTCTGGAGGCCACTCTAAATTGCTCTTCTTTAAAGGGCCATAGCATCCCTTGTAACTGAAGTCTCATAGTTCAGATGTTCTTTTCAGGAGTATGGTAATTCAAACACTTCACTCCCTTAACTATTTTCATCCATTACAGCTTTTGTTTTCACTTCAATGAGTTCTTCTACTCGAGCTAGAACACTTTCTATTAAATCAAATGTAAAGAGAGCTGAGTGTAAAACCTGAAATGACAAGAAAGATGAGTGTTATTTTTATTATTTTTTTTACCCATTTTACATTTACTTTTATCTCCAGATTAAAAAAAAATAAAAGTGACTGAAGGGAAGTGCAAACTCACTTGAAGCTGCATTCCGGTAGTCATGGCAGGCATCTTTTCCCCACTAACAGTTACAGAGCAAACTGTGTTAGAACTGTGTGCCTCTGTAGAAGAAATCATGAAGAAACTAACATGACTCTTAGAATTAAAAGAATATTTAAAATATCAGCATTTCATGACAGTAATTGTTAAGAACAGAAATCTAGGGATTGACGAAACATATGACAGAGCGTCATAGAGGAAGACAGTTGGATTTGGATGATATATTTATAACTTTGTATAACACAAACGCCTATATTACTAAACAGGCAAGATCTGTAACTGGAACCAATTTTATAGAGCTCACATGATCTTTGAAAGGAAAAATAAGATGTTATCTGGCCCAGTTTTGATACATTTTTAGTATTTCCACATTCAGGGAGATAGTAGGAGGTTCTTTAGCTTGACTTAATGAATCCGGACATTAAATACTTATTTTATTAAGAAAAGGCTGCAGGCTTCTCTGTTTCAGACAGATTACTTGCAGCAAGCTAAACTACAAGGACAAGTCTGAAATATAAGGGGAAAACCTCTTACATGCAGACCACATATTTTAAATTCAATGTAATGCTTACAAAGATTAAACACTAGGGAAGAAAGCTGAACCATTTACTCTTACAAGTTCGATGTTCTCTCCCAAGCTCAAATCTCTTTATACTTTGTCAAAGGCCAGAGAAGTGTAAGAGGGACTTAAGAAAAAGCTTCATGATTAATTTTGAAGGATTCCCTTCAGAAAGATATCCACAGGTTGTCTAAAGAAAAAAATCCTCTTCTTTGACTCATAAGTACATAGTTTGCAGCAGAAGAGGATAAGACCAGGGGCAAAAAGCTGTATTGACATTTCTAGTAGCAGACACAAATTCCTTGGGCTATCTTAATTATACTGGAGACCACAAGGAACAGAGGAGCTGACATACAGAGAGATGGCCTAAAGCAGCTACAGCTCTTGTGCCCCATGCAATGTGTCTGCTTAACCCAGAGCAGAATCTGATTCTGTGTGTCAGATTTAAAAAATAATGTATTAAAAAAAAAAGGGAATGTAATGCTTCAGGCTTTAGAGAGCACGACTTATTTTTTCTCTTGTTAACCCTCCCACACCTGGTACAAAACCTAAGGGTTATGTGTTCAGAGAAACTTGGATTCTCCTTTGTAACATTAAAATCAAAAGTAAAAATACATAACAAGCTCTGAAGGTTTTCATGTGACAGTTCTGTCAGGTTTCCATAAGATCTACAAATGTGATGACAGATAAGTTCAGATTTTTCTGATCAATTATGAAAATTTTTAATTCAGCAACTACTGAGTTATTATTTGAAGTTTGGAATAGTATCAACAGTTAAATAAATCTTGATCTATGCAGCATTCACCAGTTCCTCATTTCCAAAGGATTACTGAAGTTTCTAGATATGAACAAAGGTAAGAACAAAAAACCAACAAAAGCCAACCTTTTCTGTTCTCTTTCTTATTTTTTATTTCCGCTTCATAATGTGCTTTTGACATATTGAGTCCTACACGCAGTGGTTTTAAGAAATTCTGCTCTATCTTGCCAAGTGTGGTCCATACACCAGTCTAGTCAAACAGAAGAGAGAAGGTTATGAAACAATTTAATGAAGCATTGCAATACTAAGCTTTTGAGCATGAGATTTTTGACTAGTCTTTATGACACACTTCTGTGGTGGGGGGAAAAGAGAAAAAAAAAATCAGACTCATGCATTTAAGGATGAGCAGCACTGTGATGGATATTTAAGCTCCTCTTTCTCTCCCTCATATTATTTGTTGATTGGCCGATGAAGCAATCAAAAAAAAAAAAGGGTGCAGAGGGAGGGAGGACTTAGTGTGTAACTACAGCAATGGAAATGCACATTTTCAGCTTGTTCTTGTAAGCAAAGCTGCAAGAGCCTTGATGCGTTGGAGGGGAGGTTCTAGGCCCTTTCTCAGGCTAGAATCTCCACAGCAAGTAAATGGCAGCTGTAGGCTCCTCACAGATAATTCAGCAGTAAAAACATAGAGAAAATATTTAAATTAACATGGTATTGTGATGTCAAATTAAAGTTGTAATAAATATCATGCTTCCTGAATGTCTATATTGCATTTTAAAAGCACTGAAGAATGTTACTTGATATGCTACACTCCCATCCTTCAGCATGGTAGCCACAGTGGCAACGAAATTCTCCCCAGTTTGACATGGGTAGGAAGAAGGAGTTTACAATAATGGCACTCGGGAATCAGGAGGTGCAAGGAAAAGATGCTCAAAACCAAGGCTGCTCAGGGTTACAGAGAGGAAAATAAGCTTGGGTTTGCTACAAACTGCTGTAGAAGGAAACAATACAAAGCAGCCTTTGTGTCCTTGGACATAGGAGCCATTTATACCACTCCTTTCTTAAGGCAATATCCTCAAAGGGCAGAATAAGGACAATAAAAACAAGAATTTTCAATATTAAATAGAGTGAGTCCACTAACAACAGTGGAAAATTCACCAAATCTTAATACTAAATGACACATTTAACAGTTCAAATAAGACCAGTAATTACTTCCACCAGAATGTGGCTAAAAAAAGAACTTTCTAGAAAAATACTTATTTTAAACTTGATTAATGAAAATGCTTGTTACACAGCAATCAAAATATCTGAACTGACGTGAAAGGAGGCATTTTCTTTCTGCCTCACTTGCACTGTATGAAGAGAGACAGGGAGAAAGTCAAGAATAACTGACAGAGGCTAAATTTAAGGGAAAATCTTCAGAAGATGTGATGCTATTTTTTCCTTAAACTGCATGGGCATTCTTTTTGCCAGGTACTAGATAGCACTATTAGAGAAGCTGAGTGCTACTACATGTAGTTTTTTATTAAGAATAAAAGAGGAATTCTTACTTTTCTTACAAAGCTACGTATTTACATGTAACTGAGTAGACCATTATGACTACTCAATAGTAATCACCCCTTAAATATGACAAACAGATACAGTCTACCAATATTAACTAATTACATAAATAGTAAATTAGAAATGCACCCACTGAAAGCTCTTTTTGCTTTTCATTTTCATTACTGTTTCGGAAATCAGTACAAGTTATTTCACTGTTATTCTACTTAGATTAGTAACATTATCAGGCTTTACAAAACATATTCCTAGATCTCAAATTAATCTAAAAGTAGATCAAATTCTTCTTCTGTATTTTAGAAACCAAAAAAATTATATTATTGTATTATTATTGCTATAAAGAAATCCAGTTGGAGGTTTGAGGAATACCAGCGAATAAATAAGGAAAAATATTTTTTTCATTTGGGAATACTTATTGGGGTATGTGATTTTGTGGTGACATATTCTAATGTTGTAGACATAGATCACAGTTCAACAGGCAGAGTAAAAGGATTAGTTTGTTTATAGGAACACTATATATGCAAACAATTTCATCAAAACAAAGAAACATTTCAGTTATTTCCTAGCATCTTAATAAAAGCATCAGCTCTGGGGAACTAACCATTGCAAAGCAAAACACAAAACTCATGGTTTTTGAATCAAGGACAACAGTATTCATGTGACTCCACCTCTCAGCTAATCAATCATTTTCAGATCAAATAGTACATACCTGATTGTCACTTTCACAATCCTTAATGATCAAGTATCTCAGCAGATTTAATGATGCCATAATCCTGTGTATTAAAAACATACAGATACCTATTACCAGGATAGTAGTTTTTATTTTCCATTAGCCAGACATGCTAGGAGTATCCATTTGTACAAAAAGCAGCCACCCATCTGTTGAGCAATATAGCTCCATCTAGAGCACCAGTGTGTAGTGATGTCCATACAAAAGTTCACACTTGGCAAGTGAAACTGAAACTGTCATCAGAATGGAGACGGCTGGTGATTGTGAGGGAAAGATTTTCTCAAGAGACAGAACCTTATCACAGAATTTATAATATGTATCACTGGTGATCCAAAGTTAATTTAAAACTTGCGTGACAATTGTCTTTATTACTGAACTACTGAATTACTTTAGTACTGAATTTTTACTTTTGAGTGTGCTTTTTAAATTTTTTTTTTGCTTTTGTTTTACCATACTTTTGAGCAGAAATTATTTATTGTTTTCTCCAGATAACAAGTACAGTTAAATATCATACTTCTGGGCTTTTGTATGCCCAGATATGTGTTCATCTGGACATTATCTCCCCACTGATTTACAAGCCCAAGCATCATCATATTACTTACCATATAGGAAGATTTACCCTATATACACAAGATTTTTCAGACACATTTCAGTTATTTATTTTTTTTTAATGCAATTATTTACTGTTCAGGTGGATCTGTAATCCTACTCATGAGATACTGGATTCCCAGTACCAATCTGTAAAGCTGCCTCAAAGATGCCTTGCACTATAGGTTGCATCAGATAGTTGATATTCCCCTCTATCATATTAGACACCACACCACATTGTTTTTGTTCCTCCAACTGCTTCTGCAGAGATCTGACAAACTATAAATTCCTGAGGAAATAATGCTTTACCCATTAGTTATGTCATTTCACATCTGAAGTCTTACATCCTCAGGAAATGGAGGAGGACATTCATTCTTATTGTTAAAAATTAACGTAATGGTATTGTGACATTCTCCTATGCAGACCTGGTTAAAGTAAGTGACCATTTCCATTTCTAGTTCCAAAACCTTAAAATACATTGATGTTGTCATCTCATTAATTACATGACAGCATACATCATTGTAGTAAGGTATAGACTTTTTTAACAATGAAGAAAGGAGAAAAGCTTTTAACTGTAATTACAACTCACCTGTCTGAATTTTGCAGAAGATCGGTCTCAGCACCTTCTGGAAGTGAAAGTACTAAATCTAGAAGGGAGATCAGGTGATGTCCCATAAACCAAATGTTGTCATACTCCTTTTGAAAAAAAAAATACAAAAAGTTCAGCTGAGTGCAAAATTTAGGTCTTAAATAATGTAACAATTACTCGCATAAACCAGAAAAGTTTAAAAAAAATAACCAGACACTGGAAGAAATGTTTTTTTAATATTGACCTGTGAGTGAAGTACATAAACCAGCCTCTTTATAATTTTAATATTATTTGTCTTTCTGACAGCCAAGAAAGAAATGGAAAGAATGTAGTAAGAAAATTGTGAGGCTGCATAGTAGAAAATTAATTATTTAGTTTTAATTAATTTTCCCAACTTTTTGGTATAATTATTATAAAATATGAGGTTAAAATGGCTTTGATCTAGCCCAGCTCTTCCTGATGGATTTATCATTTGCTAAGCACTCATAATAAAATGCTGACTGTCATCATAAATGCCAAGAAAAAACTAATAATTCTATCTGGACTGCAATATTTGAATTGTATTTTTAAAATGAGGAACTGTGGGGATAAAACAATGTACTGAGCAGTTCCACTTTCAGAAAGAAATCTATTTTCAAGCACAGAAAAGGTGCTTCTTAGAAAAGCAAAATAACTTCTTAGAAAAATACAATAGGATACTGCAATTAAAAATACAACTGTAAAATAACCTAAATATGCATAGACAGAAAAAGCCAAAGTAATGTTTTTAATAAAATTTTCTAATCTTCTCTGTCTTTTCAAAGTGGATTTTTTTTTAATGCATCACTCGAAGTTTAAGTTGTAGATATTTTCTCAACATCATCCTCATAGAATTTTGAGAAGGCAAGTTGGTTTTTACTGGTAACAGCCTCACCGTTAATGCCAAGTGAATCTGATCTTTTATATTTTTAATAATGTATCCTTCCACACCAGCATGGTTGCTTGTCTTCAGTAAACACCTTCAAACAAACAAAACAAAGATATTAACTCTTTAAAGCTGCCCATAGAGTTAGCTCAAAACTTAGATAACATTCACTAATTGGGAGTTTTACCACAGAAGAACAGTATGAATATGTAACCTTTAAACACTGCCTTACATAAGACAGCTAATTTTATATGAGGCAATTGAAATTCATAATTTATCAAAAAATTAACATAGTAAAATTAACATGGCTTATCAGATGGAAATTCTGTCAGAAATCACTGTATTGATGCAATTAAGCTGCTCTAGGGCCGATATTACACAATCTACAGTAACTTGGATGCGTACCTGAATAATGCATATTTTCCCTCTGTATCAAACTTGTCTATGAACAACTGCAAAATACTTAAACTCTTCTTTCTCTAAAGAAAACAGAGATGTTGATCAGATGAATTCTAAAATAATTCATTCAGCATTCAGAATCCAACTGATTTTACCTCTTAACATACCATATGCTCCATGGGACAAAGGGTCATAATTTTCACCAAATCCTGCAGTCAGAAAAAGGAAATACTATTTATAGTTACATATAGATTAATACATTACATCACTAAATCATTACATGACTAAAATCTACTCCAGACTTTAAAAAAACGAACAAAAAAACCCCAATGAGAATGCTCAGGTAATTATAGAAGATTCTCATCAGAGAAATTCATGCTAGCTTCAGTGGTCAAAATCCCAGGGCTGATCCATAGGAACACTGTTGTACTCTTGGTTCCAGGCAAGAATGTAGCCAAGCAGCAGATTGGCAAGAGCCAAAATGAGCAAGCACCACTTTTCAACTAAGATCTGTGCCCAGCTGCTTCAGGGACCTGAACATACACTGGTGTATTTTGTCACTGAAACTTCATGCTGCAGCAGGTAGAAAAGACAATCAATTCTGTCTAGCAAGACACTGAAGGTTTCAATTTAACAGCATAGGTGTATAAAGGTCCAGTAAGATGCCCTCTCTCAAATGCCTAGGGGACAGCTAGGTATTATTTCAAACTTTGAAGACTCCTGTACACTGTTTCTTATTACCTGAGGTACATTAATAAAGTCTCTGAATTCTAAATAGTGATGGTGCAGGCTGTTATCTTCCATTCTCAATAAACAGCTCTCAAACAGATCCTGCAGGCGAGGAAAAGAAAATAAAGATGCCAACAGTATGCACATATACAGGACATTAATCTATCAGCCTAACATTTCATGGCTAAAACAGCCTTCAATCATAAATACTCATTCAGATGTTGCAGGTTCCAAGCAGCTGCAATTATAAGTGATAGCTGTAATTTAAACAATTATGCAGGACTGCAAAGTTCAATAAATGCAGGCATTTGTAAGACTGAAGAATACTTAATTAAGCATCAAAATAATTCTGGGACTACTACCTGAACTATCAGTTATACCTCTCTTAGAAGGGGAAATAAAAGTTTTCCATTGCTTAAACTGAAAAAATAAAACATTCTAACATTGAAAATTTAATTTAATAAAACCACTTACAAGTCCTTTAGATAATACAGATTCTTCTGTTCTAGAAAAAAAAATCAAATTTGTTAATTAAAAAGACAGTTGATACTTCAGAAGAAACAGTAGAACAGAGGTTAACAAGAACTTCTCTTTCAACAATTTTCATTCTATTTTTTAAATATTGAATCTTCATTATTCTTCCCAGAGATTTTTAGAATAGACTTGCTGATGAGATATTGAACATTAGACCCATCTCTTCACAGCCAAAAATTACTTTTTTTCCCCTCAGTATTTATACATGCTCAAAAGCAGTGTCTTTTCCCACAGGTATTAAGACATTGATTACCAAAGACAATGGAATGGTAAGCAGTCAGAATAGGAAACTTGCCTTCCTTAGCAGTGCTAGAAGGCATTTGCCAGCACGGCTTATGGAAAGTGAAATAATCACAATATACAGAAAAGTTTGGTCTCTTTTAGAAAGCCTGACCTTTAATCATTTTGCATATCATACCAGAATACATTCAAATAAATATTTTCACACAAGTTGCCTTTGGTAATAATTGTTATAGAAGGGCAAGTAAGTATACATCCTAATTATTCTGCATTTGTTTAAGCTACTCATTTTACATTTGCAGCATAAAGTTTCTAAAAATGGTACCACAATAGAAGATGTTGTACATACATAGATACATAAGTGTTTAGACAACTTCTGCTTCTTAGTAATAGAAGCCATCTTGTAGTGGAACTTGACATTTTAATGCTCAAGTTTATAAATCTCCTCTGAACTTATCTATATTTCAAATTTGTTTTTAATGAATTACTGTAAAAGATCACCCCCACTATCTAGACCTGCAAATTCCACAAACCCCTACCTTTTCAGCAGCACTTCAATATGTGTCATATTGCACAGCAGAAGGTATGAAGGACTAGAAGAGAAGAATCAGGCAACATTAAACTGCATAAGCCATATACATTTGCACATAATGAATATATTTAAAAGGATTATTTTAAAGTATTCTTCTAAAAAATTAAAATATCTTTTTAAAACTGTGTATTTTTAAATAGTCAAAAAATTTAAGTCAAATCACTGTTAAGAACTCTCATGGTGAAACTGTCTATAGATGTGTAAATGAACAATTAATACACATTAATTTTCAGCACATGACTAATCATAATAGTTTCTTTTAAAGGATAGCTCATCTAAAATTAAACTACAATTGAATAATCTGCAGGAGTATGTTCTTTATATAACATAAGTTATGTTGACATAAAATTAAAACTACTGAAATATAGTTTTCATTCATAACTCTTCACAAATAATGTTCTCTTCCACTCAGAAAGAATCTTCAAAGAACAGACTTAAAATAAGTCTTACCTAACACAGTTAGTTAACCTAAAATAAGTCTTACCTAACACAGAACCTAAAACAGTTCTTACCTAAAAACCACTGGGAAGCATTCGACACCAAAATGCTGAACAAACATCAGATATGACAGACATGCCAAAGAATCGGCGGAATTCTTTCGCTCTATGTCTGCAAACTCCTGATTCTCCCAGTGTGGACTTTTGCCCTTGTGATGTACAAACACTAATGGTATCAATTCTCCAATGTTCCACAAAATGCCCTAAAAAATAAAAACTGATTTCCTATAGTTGCCTTTAAAATACCTCCATACCAATTAAGTTTTAAAGCTCTAACTACATTTACATACATTCTCTTGTACAGCATGCATAGAAATTACTATAAATTTTATGTTTATAATATATGTTAATATAAATATGTGATATTTATGATATATGCACAAACAAAAAAAATCCTGAAGGAAAAATAACTAGTGTTAGAAAAATGTTACTAAGATAACAAAATCAAGCACACAAAAGTTAGCAAAGACAGAATGAAGACTATCTGCAAACTCCTAGTTCAGCTCATTTATCCCCAATGCTATGGGTAACAATAGATTCATGAAAACATTATGTCACAAAATCTCTGTTTTTCAGATCACAGAATACTCAGTATTTTGGGGTTTTTTAACTAATCAATACAGAACACAACACTTAGCTGCTAAAGAAAAGCCTTGATTTAAAGATAGATTTGCTTTGTATGGCCTTTCTTTCCCATGATACACATCACAAGGAACACCTGGCATTTGTACATCAGAAACACTACAGTGGTTACTTCCTCATGTCCTTCATGTGGCTGAGGATATAGAGTACATATTATAGAGAAATGGGGAGATCAACATCAGCTCACTGTTCTGGAGTTGTCCAAACCCAGCATCCAGGATGGAACATTTTGGAAAATTAGGATTATACAAGATGTCATACAGTCAAAGCAGGACTTACTGACCTTAGCTTCAGTTCTCACTACCTAATGCCTTAAAGAGAAGTTTTAATTAATTCATAATTAGCATCAAAAACATGGTTTCAAACTGTGCCCAACAGGAAAGGCAAGACATATCTTACACAGCCCAGTAAGTCACCCCACTAACCAATACAGAAATCAAAATGAGCACTAGAACAAATTACAGGCAGTTGTGAACTAGATCACTGGTTCTGCACACACTGTAATTAATTTTGACTGCACTCACTGTAATTTCAGTTGCAAAATGCCGAAAAGGATGTTCTTCAATGCCCTCAAGTTGCTCAAGCTGAGCTATCAATAATGGGTATTGCAGGCTTTTCATACAGCTGAAAAAGAAAGGGGTGGAATAAATCACCAATATAGTCATAAATACAGACTATGATAGCGTAATTGATGACCAAGAATAATGCCTATATTCATATCAGCTGCTGCTATTCAAGGCATTCCAAGGAGAATAAAAAAACAACATCTCCTGTAGAAGCACTGCTTAGACTTCACCTCCAGACTATGATTATTCTCACTGCTGTAAATTTGAGAACAGAGGAATACCAACACAGCTTCAAAATGCAGCAACTAATAGTTCTTTACTATTTCCCTTAACTAAACAGAAAGCATAAATATATAAGGCCTATTTAGGGGTTCTTTGTCAAAATACCACATTAGTTAGACATATGTTAGCAGCATTATCAAACACTAAAAGATTATTTATTTGCTCCCCATATAATAAATGCCTACTATTAATTTTGTTAAGTTACAGGAAAATATAATACAGACATAAAATTCTCACAATTTTATTAATTCTTCTTTCAGCTCCATGTCATTGTATTCTGACGACTTTTCCATATTTTTAACAACTTCATTCACAAAAGGTTTAGCAAAGTCCACCACTGCATTACAACATTGACAGAGACCAAGTTTATCTTCTTGTATTTGTTGTTTTGTGTAGGGTACAGGTAATGGAGTGAGCTGATTCATAATCATGGCCAATGACAAACCCACTGAGTAGGCCTTCTTGTTCTGAAGTTTCAAAAGCACTGGGGGAAAGAAAATAAAGGGGGAAAGAACAGAAAACATTTTGAGACGTTATTACTTACTTAGTAGAGGAAAACGTAAAGAAAAACAATGTGACTAGGTAAGAAAACATTTTGTTTTCAGGGAAGGAGAGGGACTGATACCTGAAATCACATGAGCAAATCCAGCAAGACTAAACACCATCACCTAGTTTAATATACTGTAGTCAACATGGCCATACATTTGCAAATAATTAATATTAAATCGGTCATGCATTTCAAAGCTCATCCTTTCTACACAGCACCAGGATGAGGACCAAAACAAAATCTGCTTTTCTAGAACTGGGCTAAGTGAAATGATACATATCTGACCAGAAAAGGCATTTATTACTTGAGTCCTTTTGTGCTTAGCAAAACCAGAGACAATAGCCCAGCTTTTCTGCTGAGAACTGACTCTGGTTTTTACACCACAGCAAAAATAACAGACTTTCCCAGACTGAAGCAAGCAGCATCAGAGGCTCTCCACTTTAAGTGGACTCAATGCAGACTAATTGCAGATTGGCTATCCAAAAAACCACATGTTTCTCTTGTTAAACTCTAACACAGTACAATAACATATCCTGGAGATTGCTACAGACTTCAACTTGATATACAACACCTGATTTCATCTCACAAAACAAAACAGAAACTACTGCTTGTTACCTACTTAAGAAGAGGCCAAACACAACTTTTTAAATTTTCATATGTAAGCCAGAATAACACTGCCCCCTCACCAATAAAGTATTTCAACATGCTTCAATCAAAATTAATTTTTATACTATAAAAAAATAGAATTGCATGTTTTAAAAGTCAAATAATGAAGAATTTCACAAATCCATGTGATTCCCTATTTCTGCTACAACAGCAGGAGTGCTTCACACCTCTAATCATAACTGTCATAGGACAGTTATACTCACGTTCAATTATATTTACATTATATTTACAGTTTACATTCTTGTAAATTATGAAAAATAGCTGAATATTGCTTTTTCAACTGATGCTATTAGTCCCGTCTAAAATCTTTTTCTAACAGACCAATATAAGCATTAAATTTATGCCTTGTGTTATTTTGCAGAATATAATAGACTGTAAAGCTTGTCAGGACAGATGTATTCTGAAACCATTCCAGCAAAGGCTAAACTAAATTGATACATAAATAAGAAAATCATTTAATTCAGAAATCACATGATAAACTGAATCCCACCTGTCTGCAAAGGCTGAAGCAATAACATGACAGTTTGACACACTTGCTCTCCAGAGGTCTGCTCAATCTGCTCCAGTAAACCCAAAAAAAGTTCCTTTGGATTGCAGAGCTGCAAGAGAGGAACAATGCATATTTTTAAATAACCATGGTCATAACCAAAAAAATTAATCACCTGCAAACTTCAATACAGAAGTTCCTGAATGTCAAGAGAGATCTGAACATTCAAGGTAAGATCTAAGAAAACAAATATGAAACAATAAGTACATGCCTACAATTAACATCTCCTGTAGAGCATACCTGTGTGTACATTTTCATATGAGCTGAAAACATATAATAGTAAAAACTGACATTAAACCTGATTTTTATGGGCTGTAAAAAACTCACAGTACCTTTGCAAAGTAATCCTTAGGAGCAGAGAGTGAAGTAAAATTTGAGTGTGAATTTAACTCAAGCTATAACGTTTGCAAGTTGTTTTTGGAGTGCATAAATGAAAGAGAATGAGATTTTTACAGGTTAAAACATTTTTCTGCTCCTACTCCAACAGAATCATCAGGTAATGATTCTCATATTGAAGAAGGGTGAATGATTTAAGGAAAAGACTTTGCAGAAAAGAACAATAAATACTATTCAGACACAGGTAAGTGGCAAATGGCAAGGTCTTGCAGAATGGTTCTGAAATAGCTAAAGAGAGAACATGAATAGAGAGACCTTAAATTAGATACTAGAAAAGATATTTAGCAACATACTGTAAGTTTTACTCAAGCCAGCTAACTCAGGTAAGACTGTGGCCTTCAGATCAACTTAGCTCATTTTAATGTGAAAACCACACCTCTGATGCTGAGCCTACTACTTCCAAACAGATCCCTAATCACTGACCATGCACCATGAATTCAGGATTCCCTGTACCTTTAAACTGAGAAAAGGGAATGTTAAACTAAACAGATTATCCAAGTAGTGATGTAGATTCATTATGCAAATATTGTCAGAATCAAATTGGACCAATTTGTGTGTAACTGGCCTTTAGTATACTAACTTCATGGATTAATGATCTAGAACCCTTTTTGTGCAAAATTTCCCTAACGTTGTATCATAATCACGTATTTCAAAACCATACCTGTGCCAACTGTTCTAGTATCCTCAGGCAGTGTTCTCGCTTATCATCTTCTTGTTTATAGATGAAAATACATCTAACAAGAGGAGAAATGAGATTCCAACCCATATTCTTGATGATAACCTAAAAAACAGATTTTCAGAGAATAAACCAAAACTGGATGTCTTCTAAACCCAGAAAGATTGTACATATAAAGACTAAAAGCATAAAACACATCAGTATCCTGGTTGTAATCATTACTGTCACTGAATATTTAGCAACTGTTCCCATAATTTGACACACATTGTATTCTCTCCCCATACCTGTAAACACAACTGCATATTTTGTATCATTTTCTTCTAATAATTGACATGTCGATATAAATTAACATTGACATGTCAATATATACTTTTAAATGTCTATGACAATACATTTAAAACAAGACTGAACAGAGGAAGTGTACTGAAAGTACACTTGGACAAATTATTCATGTGGGCATTGAGATTTTCAGTTGTTACTCCGAACTCACAAAATTCAAAACCAGATGGTGAACCCCATGTAACATTGCTATAATATTCTACCCTTCACTTTCTTTCTGAACTTTCTGTTTATCTCTGTTCAATCCCAGCATCCCTAATGTCCACCAACATCAGCATTTCAAATTAGCATCAGCCTAGATGGCTCCTACAGTTGGCCAATATTATTATATCCATTTGTGGTAGGCTCACCCTCAACAGCAACTAAGCACCCCTCAGCTGCTTGCTTGCTCTTGTCCCTCAGTGGGATGGGGGCAAGAGTCAAAAGAGCAAAACAGAGTAGCTCCAGAGATAAGGACAATGTAATAAGTGAAAGACAAAAGACAGCAGGGCATGACAGGGCAATGATGCAGATCAACTCCCACAAGGAGACCAATGCCCAGCCAGCCTCCAAGCAACACCACTTTGGAATGGGTCCCCATCCGCTTGTCTTAACTGCTGGGCACGATGTTGTATGGTGTGGAATATCTCACTGCTTTGAGTCAGCTGTCGCAGCTGTGTCTCCTCCCAAATTCCCTGCTTACTGGGGGCAGAGTGAGAAATGAAGAAGGCCTTAATGCTGCACAAGCACTGATCAGCGGTAGTTGAAACACTGGTGTATTATCAGCACCTTTCTGGTCACAAATCTAAAACACAGCACTGCAGGCTGCCATGAAGAAAGCCAACTCCATGCCAGCCAGACCCAGTACACCATCTGAAACCCCTCTCCTGCAGAAGTGGGACACTGTTGCTTTCTCCTAATTATGATTTTCTGCTTCCTTTTCTCTTTGCTTCACTCACAGAAGCATTATTAATGGTTTTGTTGAGATTACCATGACTTGAGTTTCTGTGAGCTACCTGAATACAGAATAATGTGCACTTAACACAGGGCAACTTATTAGATATTCATATGTACAGCTCCAAGGGAAAATAGCTTTCCCTGTTCATAAGCAGTTTTCTATTTAATGATGTTAATAAACATTAATATGTAGTGCAAACTCACACTCACCTTGTTTTTCTCATTTTGAATTACTTCTAATAACTGAGCTGCATATCCATCTTCCAAACATTTCTGACCTGCTACCTGAAACAGATTAAAATCTTCTCCTTTGAAATCAGCTTCTTCCAGAATTTGCTAGAAAGAAAATATGAATGTTTAATTCTGAATTTATTAAAGTATAATAAGAAATAGGAAAATCTATGCTTTCAAAATTAAATGTAGCATCATTGTAACTTTTATACATTTTTAACATATTAAAAAAGCTACCATGTTACTACAGAAGACAAGACAGTATTTTAATATCACTAAGTTTAGACTACAGCATTCTGTTTGAAAGAAGTGTCTTCTACAACAACCAGCTTTTGTTACTAGCTACAAGAGCACTTCTTTCTCCAAGAAGCAGAAATAATGAAGCATCTTGGGATAAGCACCACAGAGAAGTCTGGAAGAAATGAAATATGGAAGATGAACTTAGCTACCCCATGAGGAGTTCTACAAACAGCTGACTTTTCTTCTGAGGTCATTTTGACTTTAATTATAATATATGAAGAGAAACTCACACTACTTACACTTGTTACTTCTAAGGAAAGAAAACTACTTACACATCTTTGTATTATGGCTTGAAGTTCATCAACTGCCATTATAGTTTGACTGTGTTCTTCTGGCATGAAAACTTATTATAAAGAGGGCAGTATTATATCACATGAATTTAAAACAGAGGCTGAAAAATAATCACATTATCAAAAAAAATGTTAATAGAGGAATAAGAACAACCTAGACAAATATTAAGACTACATAATTAGAAAATAAGGGAAAATTAATTTTTAAGAACTGTATGCCATATTATTCTACTCCCCATATTAGCAGGAGACAGTATTACAGACAGGAAACAAACAGCATTCTATGTACAGGGAAACAAGTTTTCAAGTACTATCTGGGTCATCTTAAGAAGTTTGAAGGTTTCAGTGAGTACTGTGGGCACATACATGGAAAACTGCAGCTAAAATAGAGCAAGTCTGGACTCACTGTACACCAAGTGTGCACACCCATGACACACTACATTTCCTGTGACTATTCTAACCAGAGGAGCTTCTGCTCAGCCCTGACTGGAACACATTAACCCAATGTCTGAGATGTAAAGGCACTGATCCAAACACCATGCCAGCTGATATCAACAGTCCAGTCAAGATTACATATACAGTTTCATTTATTTCTTTCTAGTGTCTAGGTTGGACTAGTTCAGTGGCCTTTTACCTCTAGGCATTAAAATTTAAAATTTTCTTGCTATAAACAACAAAGTTATACACTTGAGTAATGTCAAGTATGTACCAAGTTTTATATAGCCAGGACCATAAATTACAAATACAATCATGCATGGTTATCCCATGTGATATACCATAGCAGAAGTCATAATCTTTATGGTTCCAAATAATGCCATGGGCCTAAACCTGATTAAATGATCACTGTAAGTGTCAAGTACCCCTACACCTGGTTAATTAGATATTCATCAAAACACAGACATCTCCATGCACTGTCCTCAGCCTCTCCTCTTACATTTGACCTAATCTGGCTGGGTTGATGCTGGTCAAACGCCAGCACACCTACATGAGATAACACAAGGAGAACAAACCTACCTGGATACTCACAAAAGGGGGGGGCAACTCACAAAAGCTTAAAAGGCATCTGTGTGTAACCTTCTTTATTCAGAGAACAACTCACTTTGCATTCCTCACGACCCATTTTGACATCTGTATGTCACTGAAACCTATCTTTTCTAGCCTGTCATATTAACCAGGTACCACATGTTTTACCACACGCTGTACTATTTAAGCTCTCTGTTTTACAGACTGTTACTGATCCTGCCAAAACAATTTAGCATACTTTCGAACGCCAGCACTGTTCCATTTTCAGCCCTCAGTAACTTCACAATGTACTTACAGCCTTGAAATGCGTCTCAAGCACCCACCTTGTTGCTCCAGGGATTTAATGGCTAAGCTCGCAGATGGTCTCCGGCCTTAATACTTAATCCGGTTTCCAACTGAATCTTTTAGGAGGTTTCAGCGGCAAGTGGACAGGATCTGAATCATGTGAAACGTTCTATTAATACTCACCAAACTCCCTCCTAATAAACAGACACCCCAGCCTCTTCTCTGGGCAGTACAATACCCAGGCTGGGACGAAGAGGCTGCCAGCCTCAGCCTGTAACACACAGATGAATTAAAAACCACAGGGGACACCACCTCACCTCACTCCCTGCCGGACGAAACCCCTGAGCTCCTCGCTGCCGCCTCTCCCGGCCCCGCCGCAGCCGCA